ATACGCAGACGAGCTTAGCCTTTGGCTGAGATCTATAAGTCCATAAAAGATGTTTATGCCTTCTCTAGCAATGCCTAATAATTTCATAACAAACTATTTTAAGATTGATTTTGTAAGCACATTTTTAATTTAAGGACCAGAGTTGATTAGTGTTTGATCACATCGGTATGTAATTATGATTTTAAAACCAAGGCCACGATGTTCTGATTCGTCAAATGTTATATTTCGTTTACAATGTCTGCAAATATTTCCGCAAATCCGCCAAAAATAATTAAAAATTCAATGATACGTTAATAATGAGTTGGAGTGATAACAATATGCCTTTTGTACTTTTTCTAGTACTTAATTTTCTTGCTGAAGCGCTCGTTTCTTCCATAGGATCTTTATTAGTAAATTGATTGCCTGCAAATCTTTTTTTGTGGCCTACTGGATGATAAGTGTCCTCTTCATTTACTTTGGAGGAATCTTTACATTGTTGTATTTCGTCCGAAATTTGAAACAAAACTGTGTCTAAAAAACAGAATTGTTTCGAGATGACCATTATACCTACACAAAAGAACATGAATGTATACACTGTAACGTTTCTATAGGGAACATAAAAGAAATATTCCAGTTGTGTTCAAAGCCTAAGGGTCAACAGAGAGGATGCATCGTGTGCTCAACGCTTTACCTGCTTGGCAGTTGGCAATAAAATTGTCTGTAACTATGTTAATTCTTCAAATTTCATTTTAAAACTCAAGGGACATATTTTTGATGAAATATAGTATTAAATTATGCAAAAAAATCGATTTTTTTATCTGTTACATGAGGAGCCTCCCTTAATCACAAATCTAAATTCTATTATTACACAAAAAGTAACATCAATACTAATTCAATCATTCTCTTACTGAAAACATATGTCCCACCACGTTTCGTTATTTAAAACATTATGAGCATTTATGTTCAACTTGTATGGCTCCTTAGAGTAATCTTTCAAGCATTTTGTAATCCAGTATCGTTGACCATTTGGTGTAAATGGATTCTGAATAAAGATAAGACCTAAAAGTTAAAATAAGTAAGTAGACAAGGATTAGCAAGTACATAAAATTAAATACATTAATTACAGTTTCATATAAAACAATATTAGCTGCAATAAACAATGTATTTAAAAGTGATATTATGTAAGCAAAAGATTAAACAAGGCTTGATAAGACATTCCGAGAGAGAAAAGCAATATTATTTTTTATATGGGATAATTTAAGAATGATTTTAATTATTATCGTCATAGAAAATTTACGCACCGGGAATATCCAGCAACTCACAAATGCTCCATTTCTTCACCGATTTGAGGCCACAATTGTTCTCGGTCTGTTCGCCAGTTACATGCGCTTCAATCTTTCTAACCTAAAAACGACATTCGCGATTAATTTTCGAAAGGACATATGAATGGTGATATCACGTACTCCGATGCAATCTGGACTTTCGAGATCGATCACGTCGCCGAAATCCGGTGCAGGATTCCGGCTCTTGTAATATTTGAAACTATCCCGAAACATCTCTCATCAATCGTGCGGGCCGCCATGTTTCCTTCAGACTTCGGTGACATTATGCGAGATGGCGTTGTCGTCAAATTTGGAAACAATTTCAAGTACGCGGGATACGTTGAAACAGATTGAAACCGCATTGAAATCATATAAAAAAAAGTCGAAAAAATATACATATATAGAAATTATGCAAGTAATTTAACGCTTATATTTTATGTAATCGAATATATAAAAACTATATATTCTATACAGCTAGAAGTATTGCAAAAAAATCAAAGGATAAAAAATTAAAAGATAAATAAAATGGGTATAAATAAGCATTGTTTAAATATTGAAGACGATTGAGGTAACAAAAAAATGTAATATAAATAGCCGGATATGTGATTTATATTTTAGAATCTGATAAAATTTGATTGTTGCGTATGTTGTAAATTCTAGGATAATTCGATTCTCTTGTAAACTGGGCGTGTTGGAGCATATATGTCTCGCGGACATATCATACCTGACTAAGAGCAGAAAAACGTGCCCGAACCGGGTGGACACGTAAACTATACACGCCACCTACTATTATTACTCAATATACTTTGCATATCTTCATCAAGCCGAGAGATTACATCGAGAAAGTACGGAGATTTTTTTCGCAGTGGTATATCCAAAGCCTCAGAGATCTTATGAGTCAACATTTAGAAGCTTCTTCATCAAGTTTCCTTAATCATAAAATAAAATTGAATAATAAATCTATCTATATATAATTTGTAATATTGTAAGTTACATGATATAATATAATTTATTTATATTATATTCCTAAAAATGAACAGATGATATATAATTTGCAATAATTCTTTATCCTGGGTATCAATCATGAAATTTTTTTCCCAAGGGTGAAAAGTGAAAAGTGAAAAATTTCTCCATTCAATGGTAAAAATTTTCACTTTTCACTTTCCATCCTAGGAATAAAGTTTCATGATCGATACCCTGCTCGCTTTTATAATTAAATTACTATATAAATATACTAAAATATTCTCACTTATAAATAAATAATCTCACTTAGAAATTAATGAAATTCTCCAAAGATGTCATTCGTCATTTATTGTTAATGTATATGTATAATGTAATTTATATCATATTTTATTATTTATTATTACAGTTTTATTTAATAAATGATATCAAAAGTAATGACATTACAAAGGATCGATAAATGATCGATTAATAAGAGATTTACGTTATTTGTTTTCTATTTTAAAAAATATTGGTTTATTATATTAACTAAATTAATAATATTAACTGAATTTAATAATAATGAATATGAAAGAGAGAGAGAGAGATTAAACTATAATTAAATTTTTTATAAATAATAAGTAAGACAAAATTTATAGAAAAATTTCAGGATAAGTTATTAATTAACAGTAATACCAATTAATTTAATTAGATTTGCAAAATTACTGCAAAACTTTGAACTATACAATTTATTATTCATAACTCTCTATGACATCTATGTGTTAAAAATAAAAAGAATTAACTCGATAAATGAATTGCCAACTAATGTCCATTTCTATCAATTTAATTTTAATCTCGGTTTAGCTTACTTCTTATTTCTTTTTAATTCTGTAAGTGAGAAAAAGATAAAGAGTAAATTAAAGCCAAGTTTAAAATTAATCTACCATTGATGGAAATGGATATAAATTGATCAAAGTTTGATCGAAGTCATCCTAAATCCACCTCTTGTTCTCACGGCGCGGCGCATGCAATAATTGTCTGTGACTAATTTTAGCGCGCGATTTTCGCATAATGCGGCATTGCCGAGGAACGGCGTGATTTCATAGGATAGTTGCGAGCAGGGCAGGGCACTGTGCAGCAGCGCCTCTCAAGGCTTTTCGAAAGCCTCTACCGCCAGTAAATTAATAGACTCGGCAGGCCGCGGTAATAATGATCGTCCATTACCGTCGCGCTTCTATTCGCCATAAATCTCGCCCACCCACCCAACCTGACCACATGCTAAATCTGTGTTGTTCACCCGCACACCTGCAACGATCGCCATATATTCGATCCTGTTCGATCAACCTAAATCAACGTCGCGATCAAAAAAAGAAGTTAACGATCGCAAAAATTGTTATTAGTTGATAGTTATTAGAAGTTGACGAAAAGAAAATTAATTGCAATACGTGGCAAAAGAATTAATTATACAGAATAAATTAGAGAGATTATAGAAAAAGTTATTAATTAAGTCATCAATTAATAAAAATGTCACGAGAATATTAATTTCTGTACATTTTTTTATCATCAGATCATCAAATGACTTTTTCATTTTTCAAAAAAATTTTATTTGTCTTCCCCAATCTTTTCTTTTATTTTACTTCCCTATTTTTTGTTTGTTCACCTGTGTTTTATTTAACGCATGCGCATGTCTGAAATTAAATATACTTTCTATGAAACGTTAATTATATTTATTTAAAAGCATTAAAGATCCAATTTCGGCCGTATAAGCTTCTAGTTTATCAATTGTGTTCTCACATATACAATCTAAAATAAGATTCTTATTGCTATAATTATATTTGTTTTAATTGTAAAAGTTGCAGCTATAATTGTCATCAAGCAATTTTTAATTTTGTAAATTAGAACGTGAAGTTCGCGTAAAAATACTTTCCGCAACGTTTGTTTGTCTATTTTTGTTCGAGGTGGGTCAGTAAAAATCTAAAAATCCTTCGTATTATCAAGAGACATTTCTATATGTGTTTTATTTAACGCTTGCATTTTGTCTAAAATTAAATATATTTTCTATGGAACATATACTAATTACATTTTTAATTGTGTATTGTAACGAAGTTGTAATTAACATAATGTTAAGCGTTTTTTAATTTTGTAAATTAGAATGTGAAGTATACGTAAATACTTTTCACAGAGTTTGTTTGTCTATTTTTTTTCGAGAGACGGTCATTCATCATTAATGTGTAATAACAAAGTTGCAATTGTTATCAAGAAGTTTTTAATTCCGCAAATTAAAACGTAAAGATCTCGTAAATACTTTTCATAGAATTTTGTTCGTCTATTTTTTTTCCAGGCGACTGCGGGAGCCGCGTCAACAAGAATCTAAAAATCTCCTTCATGTTGTCAGGAGACTGACGTTTCTGGCAGAATTAAGCGCTCTAGGAGTGCCTAGAGAGGAGCGCGACACGCACGCGGATCGAATGTGCCGGCGTGGCGCGGTAAGGGAGCGGTGCGCGTACTCTCCCTGACAGTTTCATGTCAACAAATGTCGCGGCCGAAGCGTCGCGCCCAGCTAGCCTGCCAGCCAGCCAGCCAGCTCCTTGGCAGAGACGGAGCGCGGGGTCGCCGGCGCGTATTCGCGGAGTCGCTGCTCGGCCAATCGCGGCGTCGCTCGACGCCATCGCCGACCAATCGGCGTGCGCCGCGGTGACGACGCGGGCTAAATATAGCCGGTATATATCTAGGCCGGTCGCGACCGCGAATTATCCACAGTCGCGCGCCGGCGGCCGACGGAGGAGGTTAAGTGGATTATCGAACAGCGAGCGGATTTAAGTGCGTGCGCAGTGCGCGAAGTGCGAATACGGCTTCTGGACACGGGAAGGTAGGAATCCGATACATGCAGTGTATCGCGCTTTCAAAATTGGAATGTCTATCCCTTTCTTAATCTGTAAAATAAACGCAATAAAGCTTCCGTCGGAATAAACCGACTGCGAGAGGAGGTAGCTGCGGAAGGAAGGAAAATTGTTCTTGCGTCAAATTCGGAGCACGTGTTTGTCGTAATAAACACGATTCTGCTCGCAATAAACACAGTTATATATTCTCGGGTCGCTACTGAAATTAGTGGATAGATTGCGAATTGTTTCGCGACTTTTGGCCAGACGGCGGATTTTGGTCGAAGTGCGCCGTCGAGAGCGGCGTGAAGTGCGCAACGTACGGCGTGACGTTGCGCACGCAAAACGATCGAAGTGCGCGTGTTCGATAACATCGCACGATCCGTTCAGCGTAATCGCACTATCTGTGTTTTTTCGATTCCTAACATTATCGAAAGTTTTAGTCTTTCTCTAACTCTGCGTAGAAATAAAGAAAGATGCTGAGACAATCTGTTACTACAGTCACTACTGTTACTACAGTTACTACTTGGCCATGCCATCTAACATCCTTATTGCATTTTCTTGAATAAGTTGGTAATAAAAGCTAAAAAAAAGAATACAAAATATATTGAAATTGTTATAAAAATAAATATTATTTTTTAATGAAATTGTTTTTTTTATTATATGTAAATATTTACGTCAATTTGTGAGGATAAATTATATTATATACAGTTATACTATACATTGAAAGAAAATGTGCTAAATCTTATACCATATTTTTTTGTGAATAGTATTTACAATAAATAAATGTTTATTCAGTAAAAAAATGATTGTTAAATTAATGCTTTTTGTATCAAATAATTATATGTTTACATGTAGTAAATATTTACTTAGAATTATTCAAACAAATATTTATTAAATTTAGTATTCTTTTCCAGTATACATATATACAGGGTGTTCCAAAAGCTCTAAGGATTTTTTAGAATTTTTTAGCAACTTTTTAGTACTGCATTTTCTTATTTTTACCAACATGAGAAAATACGGTATTAAAAAATTCTAAACAAATTCTTAAAAAATTCTTAGAGCTCTATGAGAAGAAAATAAACAAATTGTTTTTTGCAGTTTTTCTGTAAAGTTGATAATATTTGAGTAAAAAATTATTGAAGACTAATTTTCGGCAATTTTTAGCAATTAATATCTTGTTAACCATTGCGAAAATTGCGGTAGAGGACTTTTCTTCTCAGTTTAGTCCATTCTGCTCCGAAAGATTTATCGTTACTTTTGGAACATCCTGTATATTATATACAGTATATTGTTATTGTCGAAAGACTGTTTCCGTAAAAAGTAAGTAAATGAAGCTTGCAACTTTTAAGTACGATAACCGGATGCATCAACAATTTTTAAAATTAGTTCGCGAGGTATCGAGATCAAAGTCGCATTCGATATATCGAGGGCATTAGGCGCGATCGAAGGGAGAGATTGCGGCGGTATGTTACGTCTTGACGTTACATCCGATAAGGTTATTACGTGTCGGATTGACATAATATCTTGCACTTAATTTACAGTTACGCTTGATCAGTCGCGACCAAGTGCGATCGATTCTTCCCACAGAGGATTTTTCGATATTGCGGCTCGCGCATACGCGTAAAGATTCAAATCGCGGCGCCGCGATGCTCTGAAGTTAGACGTCAGACCGATCGCGAGCGCGATTTGGATTGATTTACGTGGGTTTTATAGCCACGGGCTTGCAATTGCTCAAGGTCGCGACGCCACGAAGTAGAACTTCGCTGCCATCATAGTTGCAATGTTGCCACAAGAGCTCGGGGGAATATACGTTAAATGCGCCTCGTGTATGCTCGCTCTTATTCGCTGAGAAAACATTTGACGTACGAAAGAGAGGGAGGGAGGATTTAAAACTTGTTTGTTTCATTCGATGTATGTTTTAGAAGCGTTTATTCAAGTATCTGCTCGTATTTTAAACATCTCACAATGTCATTCATTAATTATTATAATTGAGGTGTTAACTATTTTAAATAATTTTTTTAATGAACATTACATACGTAAATCATAATAAACATATTCTTGTACTAAATATTATTGTTGACTTTTCGTAATTATTATCGCGTTGTACACATTGCTAATATTCTTTATTCTTCTTTTAATCTTTTAATTTTGTTATTGGAGATTAATAATGATGAATTTTCGGATTATTTCAGAGAATAATTTCTGCACTGGTTTTATGAAGAATCATTATTTTCCTCGTTTTATTTGATTGAAAAATATTATTCGACATTTTCCTTATATTATTTTATTTTATTATATCTATAGTTGCTTGTCACGTTTTATTTTCTTACTTCTACATTTTATCTCACATTTATCTCTCAATGCTCTGAACTTTCGAGCAAGTTCTTTCCTCGAAACTGGTGTTCGCGAGAGGGAATAAATGGGACGAGGCACTCGCGTATTGTGCGCCTCTCTCATGAATATGAATGTGCAATCGTTCGTGTCTAAGCGCGTGTCTTTGAAGTTGGCTATCTATTATCGCGTTTACGAGATACACAACTTGCAGCATACGAACAAACGAACGTGAGTAGCCGCCGTCGCGATTTGTGTATAGTTAGCCCGGAATAAATTATTTCGGAATTTAGAACGCGCACCCGAAAATAATTTGTTTCTCAGAGAACTGCCGATCTCTCATTCGCGTGTTTTGCACGACGTACATACTTTCGATACATCGATGCCGCTCTTGACAAATCTCTTAATTTTAAACGTCCATCCTTCACTATTTTGACAGTAAAATAGAGAAGGGCAAGATTTAAACGCGATGAATACTTTAGGGCCTAATCAGTGCCTTTTCTCGATCCTTTTTCTATCCCGAATAGAGCTGAGAGGGATAAAGGAAATTATAATTATCCTTTAAATTCTTTGGAGTAGAATCTCAGTCTAAAGAGCGAAAATTGAGTCAATCTCTTGAAAAAGAGTAGTTTTTAATTTTTAAGAATGAGATTTCACTCTACACACACACAGAATGAGATTTGCTTTAAAAGTTTTAGAGAATAATGAAATATAGTATTCAGTATAAGTAATAAGTATAACTGTAATAGGCAATTAATATTATGGTACACAAAACTATAGTTATTAATGTACATATAAAAATATAGTTATTAATGTATATACATATAAAGACACCATTCGTGGTTATTTACTGAAAAATTGTTTATTTCACATGTGTACATATATCTGCATATATATGTACATATAAATACGAAATTTTTATTCACCAAGAAATAATTATGAATACCATGAATACTTTTGTAAACTGAAGTTGATAGTTATTAGATTAGGTAAAAATTAAATAAATTATAAAAGACAGTTAATGTTTCATGCTAATTTTGGTTTCTGAATTTCAAGTATTCACACGCATAAAGTTTCCTACGTTTTCTCAGAGTAATGCGATAACGTTATCGCATATCTTTCTTTCGATGAGATGAATGAATCAGATATCGCATGGAATGGACTATCACATGCAATGGAATATCGCGTAAAAACTATCATTATTAAATTATACACATATTATGCATAATAGAGTACCATTTTGCATACGATACACTTATGTAATTATCGATTAAAATCGCGTGGATGAAAAAGAAAGAACCCTAAAAAGCGCTTAAGAAAAAAAGGAAGAATATTTAATTTAAATAGTTATATCTTTAAATAAATTACAGACAGTAGGAATCTAAATTAAAACCAAGAAATAGAAATTTAGAAAAATAATGTAAATTTATATTTATAATATAAAATTATATAATAATTTCGTGAGAATGCATTGTGAGAAAAGTATACATATGGTAATTAAATTTTTTACGAAAAATATGCTAAATCTATAATATCGAAAGAAATTATTAATAAAATTAGAATAAAACAGTCGCAATGAAAGAAAATTAACTAAATTTTCGCTGCACTTTTTTTTTATCAAGTACACAAACAGTTTGGCATTAAATTGCACGTCTCCGATGTTTGCTTTCGCTGGCAAACTTCCTCCGACGTTGATAACCTTTGCAGAATAATAATCTTATCTCACGCATTTGCTATGCAAAGTTACGAAGGTGATCATTTCGATGTTATCTGCTCCATAATTATTGTTAGAAGGTTAAAGCCAAAAACGTGTGCGACAATCAATTTTTTTCGAAACTTTAAAAATATTCCATTTTATAATTATTTATAAATTAAAATAAATATTAAGCCTACGGCGCATGAGGCATTTTTTTCTGCTGGACTGCTTGCATGTTAGTAAATAATTACTAGAATATATTGCATCACACAGAACATAGAATTTCTATAGTAATTTACTAAAATGTGCAAACAATCCCACAGGAAAACTCCATCGCGTGCCACAGGCTTTAACTCTCGAAATATTGAAAGTTGCACGATCGTTTCTTTTTTCAGATAGTTTCGGTATCGTGTTACTTGCGAATGAATGCCAACTTGGCGCCGACTGTATTAATATCGTATCGATGTGTGTGTGTTGTAAACTGGTTATTTTATGTGATAATAAACGAGATTATCATCACTATCAGATTGCGACATAAATATCTTTGTTGCGTTAAATATAAACAAGATCTAATATATCATAAATACAATTTTATATACAATATGATTAAATATATATGTATGACATAGACTTAACGTGAATGCAACGACATAATTTTTGAAAGCATTCTTGTAGAATTTTAAAGGATAACAAGAGGAACAAAATGAATTTGTCATTTGCCGAGAATTATCAAGTTAAATATACATATTAAATATTTTTTATTTAATTAATTCCTTATTTGTAATTCTGTCAAAGTCTCAAATCCAATTTAGGTGAACGATGATTTTGTTATATGCTTGCACTTTTAAAGTTTAATCGGCGTTATTTAAAATTAACGATTACCATTATACGACACGATCATCGCTAAACGTTTCTGCGTTGAGTGATTTTTCTAACATTTAATAATACGTATATATTGTT